CTAATAATGTAACAATAAATATGTTCTCTACAATAGATGAGAACTCAATGAAAGCTCACACTCAATTGTTATAATTTCTCACAACCCTAATATACTATGTATGTAAATACTAAAAGCTCATGTGGGTGTGTGTAACAATGAGAATAAATAAAACAACTAAACTCAAATAAAATCTAGCATATAGAAATTATGAATAAAATAATAAATAGCTAGAAATAGAGTTTAGGAATTCTTCTCTGAAAAACAAGATGGAGAGATGGATTAAAAGGAAGCTCAAACAATGTAGATGATCTCCTCCACTTGTGAACCAACCAAAACAGCTTTAAACCAAACATAAACTCTTTTAAAACTTGTTAAAACATTTATTGGATACACATTAGAACTGAGGTATAAGGGGGTATTTATATGAAACCCCAAAGCCAAGAGAAAGCCAAGAAAATACTAAAAAACCAATACAGCAACGACTCTGGAAACTAGCCGTTAGAACAGATTTGACTGTTCGGCGGTCGACCGCTGTGGTCGACTGAACAAACTACGGCTCTGGACAAGCGACGGTCGACCGCGGCGGTTGACCGCGAAAGTCTCTAGACTTGCTACGGTCGACCGCCACGGTCGACCGCGAGCCAACAAAACATAACCTGAGTCTTGAACCATGGCGGTCGACCGTGGCGGTCGACCACGAACTGATACTAAGGAAAACAGGTTTTAAAAGCATATTTTTAAAACTTTGAAAATATGTTAAAAATAACAAATAAAGTCCAAAAATAATGAAACTTTGGGAAATGTATATAAACATGTAAATGAACATATTACAAAAAGGAAACTTTGGGAAATGTATATAAACATGTAAATGAACATATTACAAAAAGAATTTTCCAAATTGCATTTTCCATTTGTGAAAAATCATCGTTTTGCAGAATAGTCCAAAACATGAAAATGTAAACATAAGAATTTTGATATTTTGGCTAAACCATGTTTTGAAACTTTACAAAATGATTTTATAGACTTGAAAAAAAGATGTAAACTATTGTTATGAAGTCTATAAATAGTGAATATATTATTTTCAAAAATACAATAGAAAATAAAACATATGAGTATGTATATAAAAATATATTTGTTTCATATCTAAGTAGTTAAACCAAATCACAATAATAAATATGAAATATGTAATTTCATATTTTTGACTTGGTACACTATGCGGATAAAGCTGAACTTGGATCTTGAACTTGAATTGCATAAGCTTCACTCCACAATTCCGCCAACCTCCATTTGATATCGTCGTTGAAACGCTATTCCATCCATCCTCCAACATATTGTTTGCTTAGAATAAATATAAAACACAAATATTAGACAAACAATATTAGATATAAATTATTTGTAAATCATCATCAAAACAAGAAGGCCAACATAAATGGGTGTAACCGCCTCCCTTAAATTGCTCCCTAATGGGGGCTTAATGGCCCTATTAAATGGGTGTAACCGACCCCTTAAATCACTCCTTAATAAGGGTTTATGGGATATAACTGTCCCCATAAATCTTTCCATAATGGGGGTTTAATTGTCCCTATTAAATGAAAAATCGTTTCAAGTGATTTGAAACGGTCAAACGTGACGTCCGCGTTCTAGCTTCAAAACACAAGGGTGAGCCTGGCGTTTGGCTGTTGAAATGCGGGGATGTGATCTCCGTGTTTTGTTGTTAAAACGTGGGAATGACCTCTATATTTTGTTGTTGAAACGCGAGAATGACCTTCACGATTTGATTTTAAAAACGCGGGAATGACCTCTGCGTTTTGTTATTGAAATACGAGAGTGACCTTCGCGTTTTGTTGTTGAAACGCGGGAATGACCTCCGCGTTTGGGCTTGAAGAGATCGTCAATTGTAATCTCTTTTTCTCAAGTTTTGCAAAGATTACCATCTTGTAATCCTTGCATTCGACTCTTTGAAATATGAGAGTTGTCAACTTGTAACTCTCGTATATTGTGAAAATTGTTGAATTGTAACTTTCATCTGTTGTTGTGATGGTTGTCAGATTATAACCTCCGCCGTTAGTGCTTTATGATGATCAGTTATCTACAGTAATTTTTAGATAGCCTACATCGGCCAAGCTGATATGCTGGAGGATCCTCTTTAACATCCTTCTAGTGGACAAGCGGGTACAAAAGAGTGGTATATCCCTAGCTTCTAAATGCATTTGCTGCAGTAGCCATCAATCCGAAAGTCTGAATAATCTATTTGTGAAGGGCGAGCTAGCCGAATCCCTATGTAGGTATTTCATCATTATATTTGTAGTTCCTTATTTTCCTTCACAATCCATAGCCACTAGAATCAAATGGTGGTTTCGGACTTGTAAAGGAAAGTCCCATTTTTCTATTATGGAGAGGCTAACTTGCATCGCCATCTGCTGTCAGATTTGGAGTTTCAGGAATAATACTATCTATGGGGTATGATCAAAAGCCATATGCATGCTAAAATCATTGTCATTGATGCTTTGCAACATGTGGACTAACTTTTCAAACATATGATGCATTCATCGAAGTATGATATCGACTCCTTGTTTGCTTTAGGTATCATCCATAAGGCCCCGAAGGATAAACAAATCTCTTTGTGTGCCTGGACCCCCCCAAAGGCCAATTCGTTTGCTCTCAATGTTGATGGATCTTGTCGTGAAAACCAAATGGCCATTGGGGGTGTGATTTGGTACCATGAAGGGAAGCTCATTTGCGCATTTGCGGGGCCTAAAGGAGCGGGTACTAGCTTTCAAGGGAAAATCCACGCATTAGATGTTGGAGCTGAATTTATTGCAGAGTTACAATTACAGCCCTCCATTGCGTACACTGACTCTAAAAGCCTAGCCATGAGAACAGGAAAAGAGTGCATACTATGGCAGCTTACTAGATTATGGAAGTCCATGAATCACCGACTTAGAGATATCCATGTTCGTCATTGTGTAAGGGAATCAAATGTTGTAGCAGATGCTCTTTCCAAGCTGGGTCACACCCTTCTCCAAACTCAGTATTTTTTTGCTCTAGAAAAGTTACCCATTCTGATTCAAAAGCTTCTATGGCTCGATAAGATGAGTCACCATTTCTTCAGGGTTCGATAATGTGTGCTGGTTGGACATGGTGTCGAGGATTTGATTTCGATCTTTTGGTTTATTTTGTTTCTTTAGGAGCTCCATGTGTATAGCTCAAAAACCTTTTGTGATAGTTTTACGTTATGTATATTTTTATACTGTGAGGGATGTCTCACTTCATGATGTACATGCTCCCAAAGTTTCGGGAAGGTATCATGTAACTTTTTACTATAAATGAAATCTATATTTTAGCGTTAAAAAAATTGCTTAAAAATATGAATCTGCATTGGAAAAGCCCAATGCATAAACTCTGTGTAGGACACATTTGAACGTGCTACACGAAAATTGTATGGATATAGTTGGAGAACATAAGTTGATCATTAGCTAAGATCCTAATAAGGCCTATCCAAATCCCCCCCGCCCCACCCCCCCCCCACACCACACACGACACCACGAACAGTTTTTACCAGAATAAAAACGATAGTGCAATCCATACAACTTGACTTTCAGAACCACATGTTCATCTCTAGATGAGTTGTCACATTATATTCATTATTTTGTATATACATACCTACACACGTAAGTGTATAGATATATTGCTGTGGGAGAAAAAACTAGCGATTGTAGATTGATTTGACCATTAAGAAATCGGACAAAAGAAAGGATATCCAAGATTTGACTAGAAATATGATTCTGTTCTTTTGAGACGGTACCTGCTCATATACTCTATATGGATCCATATACCTGACCCGATTAGAGGTTATTGGATCACAATGATGGATCCATACCCGCCTCGCATACTAGACCCGTCTCGGCTCTCAAAGCACATCAACTTGGTAAAACGTGTCAAAGAAGAGCCAAGTGCTGAACTACCGCTTTGTCAAAATTCCACCATACAAAATACTACATGCAAAAAAACAAAAAAATACCTCGAGAAATCCACCAAATACCAACACCAACCCTTAAGAGTTAAGACGCCTTGGGTATTCTTACACAAATAATCAAGTCATAATTTTTATTTGCAGTTTTGTTGTTTTTGTTTTGCATGTTGTTTCTTGATCTAAACTAGAATCTCCCATAAAATAGCTCTAACCCTTCACCGTTTAAAGTAGGAATTAACTAAAGGTATCTATGATTAGTTCAATCGGACATAGTCATCATGGAGCATTAATTTGACTGCATATTGTCGATCGGCATCCAAATATTAATTTCTTTAAATAGATAATCATACTTTATCTGGGAAGAAAGTTAAGCATATGAGCAATACAGTAAAGATAATCATTATAGACAATACTAGATGCAATAGGATTTTAAAAAAAGACTCTCTACTACTAAACTCACAATGAAGAACATTTAAATTTGTTAATTACCTGTGCTTGTTAATTTTTTGATAACATATAAAAGAATTGGACAAAATTAAGGTGATTATTTTATAGTTTTGAAATCTCTCTTTATTATTCCCTTTGAGATGCATATATATAAGAAACTTTAAGCATGCAGTAACAATAATAGCTTTATTATAACTACATAATTTTATTAAATATTTAAGCAAGTCAATAAAAATGTCTGAAGCCAGTAGTCATAAAATGACTCAGATTCAAGATTACGATGCAATCTTGTTAAACAAAAGAAGGAAACTAAAATTATAAATATAGATATTTTCTGGATATTTATGACAAATTTGTCTGAGATTTTTCATTCCAATCCTCTATTTGAAGGGAGGGAAGAAAAAGAGGCCCCAATTAATAGATTACAGCTTTCCCTATGGAGTACGTCCATATGAACCACAACCAATTTTGGCATTGTTCACTCTCAACACACAAGTTGGCAAAAGATGGTCCCCTCTTAATTTTATTGAACATTTTTTCTTGTTTAAACATATATTTTCCTTTCTCTATATAAACCTTGCCTTGCTTCAATCTTAAACAAGCATTCCTTTTTAAGAGTAAGCAGCTTGAGTCCTTCAAGTCTTGAAGGACTCAATTAATGGATCCTGCAGCCCCCTTCATGTACAATTTCATGCAAGTTCCTACTACTCCACCTCCCTGGGCAAATCAAATGCATAATAGAGTACTATTTTTTTATTTAATTTGATATAGGTTTTGTTATGTAGAATTATGATTTCATTGTAATCACATATTGGACATTATTAATGTGGGTTTTATGTCTTTGTTTGTTATTATTGCATGTGTACAGGTTGAGCAACTACCCCAATCTAAAACTCAAGAACAATTGAGGAAAATTCTCGAGGATCATCTCACAGCCTTTTGGTGGTGTGAGAGGTTTGAAGTGGATCATTGCCATCTTCTAGGTATATATTACATAAAATTTATGTTTACTTTTGAGGAATCCTTTAAATAATTTTCGATGCTATAAATCTCTTTCGTGATGTGCATGCGCGCTCATCTTTATCATGAGAATGTTTATTTTGTGAGGGATGATTTTGCGTACCATTTTCTTTCTTAAATTCATAATGTTGAAGTTGATTGATATGAAAATTTATAAAAGTTCATATTAGATCTAATGCAATCGTTTTAATTCTGATCTCTTACAGGAGAAAGTCTCCTGATAGTATTGCTCATATTTGAATGCCAGATCGAAAGAAAAATAGAGAAAACATGAGAACTATGATAACTATATATTCTGTTGAATTCCTAGGTGTTGTGGTGATCTACCTAAAAGCATTCACTGATGAAAATACACTGTAGCAATACTGTAGAAAATACTGTAGTAGCAATGCTCACCTACCACAAACTCACCTATATATAGCTCTCCCTGACGTTAAGTTCTGATCATCCCAGTGTCTCCAATTAAGAGTGAAAAGAAAAAGAGAGGGGGAGAGAAAGAGAAGAAAATAGAGAGAGTTTTTCCTTGAGAAGAGAGATTGTAACTCCTAAATTTTTCTCATAGTGGATTCTTCTATTATTACATGTGGTTTTTACCCTAAATTCATTTAGGGGGTTTTTCACGTAAATCTGCATGTTCATTTTATTACATCTGCTCTATTATTCGTTAGGACCTTGCTCTATTGGGCCCTGGGTTTGTCCCAACAATTGGTATCCGAGCTTGACTTAGGGTGGATGTATCTACTTATCGTATGCTCTGTGGCTGCCACCTAAGGTGGATCCTCCATACCACATCAGAAAGTAAGTTAGATTATCATTTACCTTTTAAAGGCGACATGTACTATTCACGAGTATGATATTGTTCATAAATACAATACTATTATTCACAAGTATAGTACTATTTACAGATACGGTTACTGTTTATAAATACATTTATTATTTACGTGAAATATTAAGAAATTATTATTCGTGGTAGAAGCAATGGCGACGAAGTTTGAGATCGAAAAATTCAACGATAATAATTTCTCACTGTGAAAATTGAAGATAAAGACTATCTTGAGAAAAGATAATTGTCTAACGGCCATTGGTGCAAGATCAGATGACATCACAGATGATAAGAAGTGGAACAAGATGGACAAGAATGATATTATAAATCTCCATCTGGCATTAGCAGATAGGGTGGTGTCAAGCATAGAGGAGAAGAAGACAGCAAATGAGATTTAGGATATTCTAACAAAGTTATATGAGGCTAAATCTGTGCATAACAAAATCTTCTTAAAAAGAAGATTTTACACTCTAAGGATGGTGATATCTACATCGATGACTGATCACATCAACATCCTAAATATACTGTTCTCCAAAGTCATAACATTAGGGTATACAATCGGTGTGAATGAACATGCATAACTTCTATTTCAGAGTTGACTCGTATGATTTGCTCATCATCAACCTAACAAACAACGTCATTACGGACAATTTAGTTTTCAACAACGTTCGTTGTTCTGGAGAAAGAAAATTGGTGCAAGAACAAGGAAGACAGACATGCAAGTTCGTAACAAGCAAAGACCTTATCGATGACGAGAGGAAGATCAACAGAATGTGACTCCTGTGAGAGTCATACCCATGATAGATCAAAATTAATAAGTAAGAAAAATATTAAATGCTATAACTATGGTAAAAAGGGGCACGTGAAATTGGAGTGTTGGCATAATAAGAAGAGTAGTGATAAAAAGTTTTCAGAGCCATCAACATCTCAAGGATGCGTTGTCAGCATATCAAATAATGGTGAAATTTTATACAGTAGAGCAATCACTGTTGATGAAGGTAAAATGAGGTTTGCTGATGTCTGGCTTCTAGATTCAGCAACCTCCTGACACATGACCTCCCGGAGAGAATAGTTTCACAAATATGTACCTATCTTAGGAGGACCTATATTCATGGGTAATGATCATGCCTTGAAGATTTCTGGTATTAGCATTATCAAAATTAAAATGTTTGATGGTACAATACTCACCATTCAAGATGTGTGACATGTGAAGGGCTTGAAGAAGAATCTATTATCTTTAGGACAATTGGTTGAGCTCGGATGCAAGACCCATATAGAAAATGGGATCATGAAGATTGTTAGAGGGGTACTTATTGTGATAAAAGAAAAAAGATAGCTGCAAATCTATACATGCTCAAGGAGAAACCCTGCAGGAACCTGATTCATGTGTGACATCAACTTAGCCATGGAGAAGAACAAACCATGATATGGCATCACAAACTAGGCCACATGTCAGAACGAGGCTTGAAGATTCTCTCTGATCAGAAGCTGCTTCCTGGACTTAATTCGGTAGCTCTTCTATTCAACGAGCATTTGTATGGTGTAAATTTTGATCTTCCGAAAACAGGGAACTTCGTTTGTATTGATAATAACGGCTTATTACAAACTAATAATTAAATGTTTATAACAGAAGCGGAGGGAATGCCCTCCTTGTTTAATGTGGGTTCCTCGGTGGCGATAGGACGCCTCGCTCGGTGCTCGTGCCGAGTCTGCTTCCCTTGGACGATCCGATCGAAGTTGCTGCCGGAGCTTCAGTTCTCAAATGAGGGAGCCTTTGGCAAAGGTCCAGGTTCAACCTTTGGGAGATTAACCCGCAGAATATGCAACAGCCAATCCCCCTTTCATGCTGGCTGAAGATGGGTTTTAATAGGCAAGGGATGACATGGGCCATCCCTTGATTCATGGGATTTGACCACGTGAGGGAGACAGCTTGACTGCTCCTTGAATTATGGGATGTGACCACACGTCATTCAGAGATATCCTGCTGTTCACCTGCAACAGGAGCGGTCATTCGAGGAGCCATGTTTTACATCACGTCACTTAGGAATGGGAAAGCCCCTCCTCGTATGCGTGACAGCGGCTGTCAGATACTCGAGTGGATATGGCCAACTCACTGAGCACCAACGGCCCTCCCTTCTACTTGGACAAGTGAGGTAAGCTGAATTTATGAGGGTGCAGGCTGTTTCGGCACCTGTCCGCTCATTCGTACTGTGGATGGCCATCTGACGGGCCTGGAGTATTGTGCCCCCCCTACCCTCACATCACGGAAAATAAGGAAGGTTTGTCCTCGCGAGCTTGGGACTGCAGGCAAACTTGGGTCTGCAGGCAGACTTGGGTCTGCGGGCGAGCTTGATCGTGCAGATGAACTTCGAGCTGTAGGCGAGCTTCAACTGCAGGTGAGCTGGGACCGCAGGCGAGCAGGCAGACTTGGGTCTGCAGGCGAGCTTGCAGGCGAGCTGAGTCTACAGGCGAGCTTGGGACTGCAGGCATACTTGGGTCTGCAGGCGGAGCTGGGGATTGCAGGCAGACTTGGGGTCTGCAGGCGGATTTGAGACTGCAGGCAGAGCTGGGGATTGCATGCAGACTTGGGATAGCAGGCGGATTTGAGACTGTAGGCAGACTTGGGTCTGCAGGCGGATTTGTAACTGCAGGCGAAGCTGGGGACTGCAAACGAACCTGGGTCTGCAGGCGATCTTCAAGCCGTTAGGCGAGCTCTATAGCATGGATCGAAGAATAGGCCGTAACTTTCAAACCGTAAGTCAGAATTGGACGAATTATATATGAAAATCGCCTATCTCGACGAGATGGAGCCATCCGAATCAAGCCAAAGGCTTCGGTTCGCTTCCTCCATTTTAACAAATTCCTTACGGTTTGGGAGATATCTGCATTTTCCCCTCTTTCTGCTATTTCGGGCGAGGTTTTAGCAGTTTTGTTCTGAATTTCTCTGATAAGGATTAAAAGCAATTTTTATTGCCTACAAAACCCCCTCCAAAGTTTTCAGACCTGAATCGGGCCGCATGGGGTCTGGAACACTTTGGATATGAAGACCCGTAAAGTGATCCCCGCTCAGATGGAGTGAGGAGCCCTCCAACGAGCTCGGTGAAGTTGACCTCTTCGCTTGTAGCTGATGATCGCCTTCTAGGATTTTAAGCAAACCCTCAGCTATCAACGGACTTGATTTGTCTTTACCAACTGCCGTTTGAGTTGGACTAGCCATGCTCTTGCCCTTAGCATGATAAGTTGTCGAGGAGTTTCTCTTAGGATCAATGCTAAAATTTCTCCTCTATCCTTAGCCTTTCGAGGCGTTTGGATTAAGAGCGTAGGGAGCAGTTTAACCTCGTATACCAGTCGGAGGGTAGGAACAGTTTAGACTCATGCACCAGTCGGAGTATAAGGGGGCAGTTTAGACTCATGCACCAGTTGGAGTAGAGGGAACAATTTATACTCGTATACCCGTTGGAGTCTAGGGGGGAAGCTTATCTTCTCTTAGGGAAAAGATGAAGACGAACCCTGCTTTGTCTTCTCTTGGGGCAAAGAAGAACCCTGAAATAGCAGCACATCGCATAGTAGGCCACTATCAAACAACAACGCCTTTTATGGGAAAGACGGTGCTGGGAGAATCAAATCGTTCAGGGACGTATGAGTATGATGACTGATCGGACAACGTCATTTGCGGGAATGACGATGTCGGCTATCAGAGGTAATCGTTAACATGATAGGAATTGCCGCGATCGGAGCGACTTTGAGGACCTACCATCCTTTTGAAGAGGATTGGTAAGTTGATTTTGTCAGAGGTGTAGTGTTAACATGACAGTGGGAGTTTATTGCGATTTGAGCAACTCTATGGACCTACCATCCTATTGAAGAGGACTGGTAAGTTGATTTGTCAGAGGTGACCGTTAACATGACAGTGGGGGTCCCGCCATCCTATTGAAGAGGATTGGCGGGGGATTGTGGCTTTGGTCCTAACTATCTGAAGGTTTGACCAAGTGGGAGTTTGATGCAGCCCACCTGAACTGCTAGTCTCGCCTGTTTTGAGCGGTTCGCCACAAATGGAAACCGGGGCTCGCCTAACTATTAGGCTCGCCTGATTTGAGCGGTTTGCCCGTACTAGGAACCTGGCTCAAGAAGTGGAAGTAT